GTGGAGCACACACAAACACACAGGCGTTAAGGTGTTGAGGGGGGGAAAGGGCAGGGATACCCCCCTCCCAAAAATGTCTTCGTCTTCTTCTTCGGTGGGGCCCCGCGGCCCTCGCCCACCCACAGTGCCTCCCCCCATGCAGGAGCTGCCCGACCTGAGCCACCTGACAGAAGAGGAGCGGAACATTATCATGGCAGTGATGGACCGGCAGAAGGAAGAGGAAGAGAAGGAAGAGGCCATGCTCAAGTAAGCCAGAGGGCCAGGCAGTCATTCCATGCTGGAGGGTGGGGAGGCTGGTCCTGTCAGGGAGGGGAGGAAGAAGAAGCCACTAGAGCAGAGAGAGATTTATGAATGGTGCAGGGGAGGGGGGGGGAGAAGGAGAAGGGTGGCAGGCTGGCTTCTAGGCCATGCTCTGTCTGTAGGGAGCTGGAGAGACCCACCTGCCTCCCCTCACTCTTGAGCTAACTTCTGCCACAGACTCTTTCCTGAACGCCCCTTCCTTTCCTGGTTCTCTCCCACACATTGTCAGGGGACACCTAAACCACCGTGTAGAAAAGGAAGATGGGGGACCAGCCATGGTGTGTTGTTGAAACAGGCAGGAAGTTCTTTTCCCTCAGGAACCCAGGACTTGTCTTCAGGAATTTCTTTGGGCTATTAAAAAAAAGAAAAAAGGCCCCAGACTATTTTGGGAGGGTCTGATGGGTGGGGTTTCCCTAGTCAAGAGTCTTTAAAAAGCCATGCTGCCCCCACCTGGTTCAAACCAGGCCCGTCTGAGGCACTGTGGGACTTTTTGGGGTGTGTGTGAGGGAGTGCCTTGTTTTTACATCAACCACCTGCAGGAATTCTCCTTTTGGGTTGGGTCTCTCCATCTCCTCTCTTAACCATTTTTACTGGGGTTTATGTGCTGTAATATGGAGGAAGGGAGCAAAGATCTATTCCTATAGCAAAGGAGGGCATTTCAGCATGTATAATAAATGCAGTAAATTGGCATGTCTCACCTTGTAGAAAAGGGACGGATAAATAAATGAATAGATAGATATGCCTTTTGATGGAACTGAGCGATTTGTAACCATGCTAGCCTGTGTGTCTTTCTGCAGAAGGATTGGGGAGGGGTCCAGGATGTCGAGAGATGCCATATTTGGGAGCTCTCCACTATTTACTTAAAACCCTCCTTCTCTTTCCTTGTGCCCTAACCCCTCTTTTCATCCAGTGCCTTATATGACCACATTTTCTTTCCTTCAGCAAATAAGTGTATTCCACTCTAATGTGATCACCAAACAGATTCCTGTGCATAATAGATTGCCGTTGGGCCTGTGAATGATGTTCAGGCTTCCTCTTCATATAACCACCCTCCAGGCCTATTTGCTTTTGAATGGAAATGGCAGACTAGGTATCTCTCTGTGTGTATGCCTCCTGTTGGTTCTCATAACATTCCTTTCTCTTGCTCTGAATCCTGTTTTCAGGCTTTTTTAGGAGAATCTGTTGTAGTGGATTTTGCAGAACAAAGGTGTGTGGACAAAATTGTGAAGCTCTTCTTTTGGTTGAATCCCAAATGATGACTTTTCAGGTATAAGTTCCACCGTTTGTCTGTCCCCCGCCTCTGCCTCCTGCCAGCAGTGCCATCTATAATAGATGGAAATAGGGAATCCCTGCAGGCCCTCAACTTCTGGGCTGTGTCTTGCAAGGGATGGTGCTGGGGTAGTGTCTGTCTCATTGTGGTGGGTGTCTGTTCCCTCTCTGATCTGTGTAGGGATTTCAATTTCTGCAGTTATGGTGGTGGTGGCAGCTGCTGCTCTTAATGGTACAAATGTACACTGAGGCCCTGCAATTGAGGAGGAAATGGGTTGTTTTATTGCTTGGCTTTGGCACTGTTTAAGGGTTAAGTGCTGTGAGGATGGCAGTTGGCTGCTTGCAACCTTTGGGGTGTGGCTGATTGTTCTTTTGGTGTTCATAGAATGAGGAGTAGGAAATGGAGCAGAAGAGCACTCTTGAACTTAACAGAAGTATGTCTTTATGAGTGTGTGTGTACATAAGTATAGTGTGTACATAAGTATAACTGCAATACTCAACCATTCCTTCTCCATCCTTTGATCCTTTGGATCCCTGCCATTTCTATAGTTAAACTACCTATAGTTAAATTGCTGGCTGTAGGCCACTGTCATATGCTAGCCTGCTTCCTTGGATGTGCCCCATTGAGTTCAGTTGACTGATTTCTTGGTAAGTATGCTTGGGAATGCAGCTTTGTATCAGTTGATTGATTTATGTAAATTCACTTAAAGGTGCTATTGGTGTTATATTTGTATTCTGCCTTTCACAACAAACCTGTGAGGTAGGTTAGCTGGAGAAGTATTGCTTTGCCTGGAGTCATCAAGATGTTTGTACTCGGCTTTCCTCTCCAGTGGGGATCCATATTGGCAAACAACGTTATTCTCCCCTCCTGCCTATGAGGTATGTTAGTCTAAGGGACTGTGACTGGCCCAAAATTGGTCCAGCAAGCTTCCATGGCAGAGTGGGGATTTAAACCTGGTTCTCCCAGAAACTAGCCCCACACTTGTCATATGTGGGTGGGAATTTGAATCTGAATCAATATCATGGGTGGCTAAGCAGCCACATACAGCACAGCCAGCAGGGTTTGGGGCTCATCCACACTGTGAGCAGGAAGACTACAGCATAGAGACAGACCTGCACTGTCTGTTTGCCATGAGAATGCTGAGCTGCTCTCTGGGCCTGTAAACTAAAGGCAAGATTATACAAGGTGTGGAGGGTCTTTTCACAGTGTGGACAGGAGCAGCCCTGTTCTTTTCTGTTCTGGCCTTCTTGGCATCCCTTGTTGGCCCTCAACATTCTATAGGCTCAGCTGCTCTGACCTTCAGAAAGATTTTTTCCAAGACTTGTAGGGGAAGCTTCAAAGCTTTTGTTA